TAGAGACGGGGTTTCACCATGTTGACCAGGATGGTCTCGATCTCTTGACCTCGTGATCCACCCGCCTCGGCCTCCCAAAGTGCTGGGATTACAGGCTTGAGCCACCGCGCCCGGCCATATGTCAGCATTTTTTTTTAAGCAATAAAGTGTTTTTAAATTAAGGTACGTACATTTTTTAGACATAATGCTATTGCACACATAGTAGACTACAGAATAGTGTAAACATAACTTTAATATGCACTGGAAAAACCAAAGAATGTACATGACGCATGTTACTGAAGCATTTGCTTTACTGTGATGGTATGAAACCAAACTTGCAATTTATCTCCACAGTATGCCTGTATATTTATCACAAAATGTCAGAGATGAATGGAACCTCATGTGACTTGGTTTAATCCCCCCTCATTATACAGAAAGGAAACTAAGGCCAGGGAGGTGGAGAGGCCACATGCCAAAAATCATGAAGTAAGTTAAGAGAGCTGAGACAGGAACCCAGTTTGTCTGATTCTGGGCCCAGTGTTCCTTCCACTATATGACACAGCCCTGATACTGTTCCCCAGTGTACCACCCCTAACTGATAACATGGTCATTTCATGTTAGCAGAATAAACCGAAGAGTCCAAGAACCTCTGGTTGTTTGCAGATGGTCGCCAGAGAACCATGATGACAAAGAGGATCATGGAGAACAGCAAGCGCCAGATGGCATCATCTACCCACAGCTCTCGCCAGTCCTACAATATGGGGGAGAAGTACATTTATACACGTTATCTAAACCCTTTGTTCATAAAGCCTTTGGCATAGAACAAAAGTCACTTATTTGTCCATTCAAGTTATATTTAGTAAGAGCCTGCTATTTGCTTAGTACTGTGGTACGTGTGGGAAAACAAAGTGAACAAATGTAGTTTTTGCCCTTGTAGTTCTTACTGTTTTTTTTTTTTTTTTTTTAAAGGCATCAATGGAACAGAGTATTTGTCAAAGCTCTGTCATCAGCCTGAGAAGCTTTAAGAAAGGGTTTTATACAGGGTTAGAGAAACTTACATTAGGTTGGTATAAGTTATAATTTTCATTTTCATTTATTTATTTATTTTTAACAAAATAGAGGCTTAGCTGCTTCTAAAGAAATCCTATTGGCCACAGTCTTTGAGCTCAGATCTTAAGGACATAGCTTCTATTCAGATTAGTATTATTTCTACAAATGGTACTTAATATTTAGTACTCTGGACTTCTTAAAATTTTTAGTTAAGACTGGGTTATAGCATACTATAGTTATAACTTACAAAATTCTCTCCCAATATTGGGAGAACACAGTCAGATGAAACAAACAAAAAACTACTATAATACCAAGCACCATGATAGTGCAGAATATTTAGGAGTAAGGAAGTATTATGACTCTCAGAGTAGAGACCTAGCCCTAATTTTTTATAAGGTATATATAACTTAAAAGAACCTTACCACTGTCATCAACATCATCAGTTGTTTATAAGACAGTACATTATTCATAAATGTGCTTATAACTCACCGACTGACATGTCACTATTCTGAACTTCATGGTTGTCCAGATGATAAACACAATAGATGCTAACAGTAAATGAAAAACCAGGTCAGAGGATGAATGCTAGTTTACATCCCCAATTACATTCCCCCATTTCTGGTTAAGTGGAATCCCACACACCCCAAATCCCCAAATACATCACAATTCTAACAGTTATTTTAACAAACGTATTCAATACAAATTTACTGTATACCTACTATCAGCAAGGCTCATGATACATACTCTGGTCAATCCTTTCTGTATTTAAATAATAATTTGGTAATAATTTTATTTGCCATCTGGCTACATCAGTAACCATCATGGCTGGAAAATAAGGTATTGGAAATATAGCTCTTTCCAGCATTATCAATATAATTTTTTTCCTTTTATCCTTAGTATAGTAATGCTAATTTTTCTTTGGGTGGTCAGATGAAAAAAAAAAGATTATTAAAATGTAATATAAACAGAAGAGCTAGTTCCAATCAGAGATCAGATCTCACTATTCCTGGTACAAGGGCGATGAGGTAGGCAAATTAGCCTAGTTAGGTTACAGTCCACCTAATGTCAATTTTTGACATATGCTGGCTGACATACATAATGCACTATAATAGCAATGCACTCTACTCTAAAATTCTACATCTATTTAATAAAACTAAATAAACATGTGGTAATGTCTTCTAAAAGAAGCACTCTCCAGCACTTAAGCTAACTAACCTCAAGAAAAAGAATGCCTCAAAAAAGAATGCGAATAGAAGAGGGATAAATGAAGAGCTGAAATGTGAGGTTCAGGTATTGTACACAAAATAAATGGTTCTTAACTTTTTAAAAACCATAGATCCTTCTGAGAATCTGAAAAGAGCTAAGAGCCCTTTTCCCAAGTGAAATATACAAAACTTTCTATGCCCACTCATGGTGTTTCAGGTTAAGAATCTCCATTCTAAACAGATCACATCTGAACTCTAAGAAGAAAAGTCGTAGACTTACCTGCCACTGCCAAGATAAGCGTGTTGGTGAAATGCCGATACAAAGACAGTTTTACAATGTTCCTCCGAAGTTTTAACAGCTTCATTGTTTGAGTCAGGCTAATAAATATGTGTTTGCAGGTCAAGGAATTCAACATTCAGGAAAAAAACAGTAAGCTAGCCAATTAGTCTTCAGGTTTCTTTGAGGATCTGGGGTCATCCTAATAAACTTACAGATCTCTCAGAGGCCTTACAGCTCTCTTATTCTCACTTAATCTCACAAAGACCTCAAGATTAATAAGAAAGTCATTTTCTTTGCTTTTCCTTTTTTTTTTTTTTTAATTTTGTGTGAAACAGGGTCTTGCTCTGTTGCCCGGACTGGAGTTCAGTGGCATAATCACAGCTCACTGCAGCCTTGACTACCAAGACTGAAGTGATCCTCCTACTTCAGCCTCACAAGCAACAGGAACTACAGGCATGCGCCACCATGCCTGGCTAATTTTTATTTTTTTTTGTAGAGATGGGGTCTCATTATGTTGCTCAGGCTGGACTTGAACTCCTGGCCTCAACTGATCCTCCTGCCTTTGCCTCCCAAAGCACTGGCATTACAGTCGTGAGTCACCATGCCTGGCCGAAGGTCATCATTTTCAGTAAGACATTAAAGAGAAGACAGAGCCAGGATAAAGAAAGAATGTACAAAATCACAAGATAAAAAATATATTAAAAAGAGAAAGGAAGGGGCTTTCTAGAGAAACAAAAAAGACAGAAAATAAATAGAAAGGGAAATGGTAGAAGATAAAAGTGAACGTGAGTAATAGCCAAGGGACAAAGAGTTAGCATTGTCTTCTCTCTCCCTTTAAGGTGGGTAGCTCTGTTCTCATCTAACCAGCGAATCTAGTTCAGGGTCATAATTAACACTTGTGCCTATTATCTCCCAGAGATCTACACTCAGTCCCCTCATGACATCTTAAGGAATCTGCCAGCAGTTGCCTACACTATCCTGAATTAAGAGGCCTTACAACTGGTTGAGAAGCCCATATGGTTTGATTCCAAAAGTAATGACCCTCCACTTCCAGAATATTATTCTCACACAGAAGTTGCTAGAGAAAAACAGGACAGGAATTGATGACTACAAAAATGGTTATCTGCTCTCACATTCAATTTCTTTTCTTTCTTTTTGAGACAGGGTCTCACTGTCACCCAGGCTGGAGTACAGAGGCACAATCTTGGCTCACTGCAACCTCCACTTCCAGGGCTCAAGTGATTCTCCTGCCTCAGCCTCCTGAGTAGCTGGGACCAAAAGCACGGGCCACCATACCTGACTAATTTTTGTATTTTTTTGTAGAGATGGGGCTTTGCCTTGTTGCCCAAGCTCATCTCAAACTCCTGAGCTTGAAGCAATCTGCCCACCTCAGCCTCCCATAGTGCTAGAATTACAGGCATGAGCCACCGTGCTTGCCTCAATTTTCAGAATGTGGAGTACATATAAAAATAATGGATTAGGCACTTGATCGGCCTTATAGCTATTACCTAGTCATTCCCACCTCTCTCTTTACTTCTCTCAATGCTCGTAGAGGTTCACAAAACACTTGGAAAGATACTAATCTAGAAAAGCTTTGGCCATTTAGACCAAGGACACTTTAACTGAAAACTCTTATATGGCAACCCACTCAAATTCACAAAACAATTTTGTTCACATTCACAGTTTTCCAAGTCTCAATTTATCAAGTCGGTAATAACTGAAAACTGCAAACAGGATCAAATATATAAAAACCAAAACAAATGCAAAATAAGATAAAGTCCAAAAACTTATATCCTTTAGCCATCAGGCCAAGTCCCTAATAAATACATTTAATTTTAAAGAGCAGGAGAGAAAGATTACTCAAATAGAAGCTTGTTTGTTATCTGCTGGTTGACTCTGCCTGTAAATGAATCAATTATTTATTTTGAAGGGTAGTAGTCTTCAAACAATTTCAGGTCAGCTTCTGAATGAGGGAACAAAACACTCACCCCATAAGGGTTAAAACCTGCTGAATCTGGGCCGGGCGCAGTGGCTCATGCCTGTAATCCTAGCACTATGGGAGGCCCAGAAAAGCAGATCATGAAGTGAGGAGATCAAGATCATTCTGGCTAACACAGTGAAAACCGATTTCTACTAAAAATACAAATAATTAACCAGGCATGGCAGCATGTGCCTGTACTCCCAGCTACTCGGGAGGCTGAGGCAGGAGAATCGCTTGAACCCGGGAGGTGGAGGCTGCAATAAGCCGAGACTGCACCACTGCACTCCAGCTTGGGTGACAGAGTGAGACTCCGTCTAAAAAAAAAAAAAAGAAAAAGAAAAAGAAAAAGAAAAAAATCTGCTGAACCTACACAGAGTTTCAGAAGAATCAAAGCACCTTACGTAGTTCCTGAAATCAAATTTTAAGGACCAAGATCTTTTGATAAGTTTCAACGCATTTAATAACTGCTAGCTAGAGGCTAAAAGGAAGACCAGGACCAGCACAGCCAGTGATTCTAACACTAAATGTTTAGGTACACAACCAAAATCAAGGTGAAATGCTCATTTAAAAGAAAAAAGCTAAAAGATTTTATCTCGAGCTCGGTCCACAGTCATCAATTTCCAATTTGGTTTTAAAATTAAAAAAAAAAAAAAAAAACCTGCTTATTCGAACCCTCAGGTTGTTAAGACTTAGCATGCACTATTCCCCACACTAAGGAGTAATCAACAAAACTGATAAAACTCTTCGCAGAAAGATCAATGGAAACCCATCTCCAAGGGGAGAAAACGGATCATCATCAAACAAGCCAACGAGAAGGATATCCACCAGCACAAGGCAGTGTCTAGGAAAGCCAAGGGGATAAAGGCCAAGGAAGCAAGATCAGTCTGGGCCTGCAGACAAAGAAAAAGAAGAGGTGAAAAACAGATGTCTAGAGAGGCACAGAGAAGAAACCACCACATGATTTTGCATTTACAGAATCACTGGAATGTTTTTACATCGAACTGAAAGAAAATAAAAAGAATACTTGGCACCTTATTATTCCCTTCTTATAAACCATCACATAGACTATACAGCTATAAGCATTTCACATAAATTGCCAGTTACAATCTCAAAACAATGAAACATATTGCTAACTATCATAGAGTTTTTCATATATAAAGATCCATGTTAAGAAGTGACCATATTCCACAAAAGTTTTAATGTTTATAAGCCCCATCCTAGTCTATCATTTCCTATTATTGTGGTTTTACCTACAAGTCTGAAAAGACTTTTCTCATGTTTAAAAAAAATTACTGCATCATATACAAATAATTATTTCCAAAACTGTAATATAATAAGAGTTTACAAATAAGAGCTCACCCCAAAATAAAATGTAAGGCAATTATCTGTCTCAAAAACTATGCTGCATGTTTCCAGAAGTTTATATAAAAGATGTTTTTTATATAACCCTAATTACCCAATTAATAGGCATTATTGAAAGGATATCCATAAAATAACACAGGCATCAATTGCTGAGAGGGCCAGGTTTACTATCAGAATCAAGGAATCAGAAAAATTCTATAGCAGCAGCAGAAGAAAGAAAATGAAATTGACAGAAGGTTAAAGTTGCTAAAAGTCTAAGAAAATTACATACAGAGGACAGTATGATTCGAAAAGCAAATTTGCATCCACAAAGTGTTTTATTTAAGAGGCAATTTATTGCAAAACATGTTGAGCCCAGTTTTCTTGTGGGCAAAGCCAAGTTTACAGCATTTACAATCTTGAATCTAATAGGTTACTGTGGAGTCTGATTTATTTTTTTAAATAAGAAAATAATTGAAATGGCCTAGAGAAGCCTACTTCTTCTTCATATTAATCCAGTGCTAATAGAAATTTCTTTTCTTCTCTTTTTAAAGGAAGAGGTATCACTCTGTTGCCGGAGTGTAATGGCATAATCATGGCTCACTGCAGCCTGAGCTCAATCAATCCTTCCACCTGAGCCTCCCAAGTAGCTAGGACTACAGTTGCACACCACTGCTCCCAGGCATAAATTTCTTTATCACTTAGATATCAGTGCTTTGGTTTCCTTCCGTGGCAAATAGAATAATTATACAATTCTCCAAAACGGTGTGAAAAGTTCACTAGCTGCCTTTTAAAGAAGTTTTGAAACTCAAATGTCGACTAAGAAACAAAGTTACTTTAGATTAGATTAACCAGTGTGCATGACTACAAAGTCTGCCCTTATACAAGAATTCCAGTCTGTAATCCATCAATTAGAAAAAGAAGAAAAACAAAATGCAAGCCAACTGCTTAGGAGGAAGAACTAAAATGATTACCCATCCAGACACAGGTGGAAAAGCATTCACTCCGGACACACATTAAATTTATGAAGCTCTAATACGAAGATTAAAAAGAAAACATGAACTATACATACACTTTGAAAATCAGATCCCGAAAGTGACTCACAGCAAACAGTAAAGAAGCCCACAGACATTTCCGATTCACACTGTCAAGATGTAAGCAATACAACTGAAGTGACCATAGAAAATGAGATTAAGCAGTACTAACCCCAGTAACTCTGAGGACCCCTTCCATGCCAGAGAACAAAAGATAGAGGGCACCTGCTACTACAACCTTATGAAGCGTGACTCCAAGGCGTGGCCTAAAGAGGAAGCAAAGAGATACTTGAGTTCATATGGAACAAAGCCCAAAACAAGTTAAGTAACAGGAACTCGTGTTAATTAATACAGGCCAACAATTTAAAGCAATAAAGAACATGCTCTTGATTCACCTAACAGAAAAAAACTCCTAAGACTATATGGTCTTAAAACAAGATAGGAAACACTGTAACTTAAGATCTGGTGTCCGGTTACCACATTTAAAAAAAACTTTCCTTAGAAAATTTTGAAACATATTCGCATATAATGCGCCCTTATAAACCTTTCACCGAGGCCCAAAAACTATCAACTTGTGGCCAATTCTGTCCCATGCATGCCTCTTCCACTTGTCTCCCTTTCATATTCTCTTGATGCAAATCCTAGACAGCATTATCTTTGACATATTTCAGTATGTGTTTTTAATAAATGAGGACCTTATTTTTCTTTAGTATTTCAATGGCTACAAAAGAACCTTTCTTTTTTTGCCCCCCTAAAGAAACAGGGTCTCATTCTGTTGCCCAGGATAAGTGCAGTGGCCCAGTCACAGCTCACTGCAGCCTTGAACTCCTGGGCTCAAGCGACTCTCCCACTTCAGCCTCCTGAGTAGCTGGTGACTACAGGCAAGTCCCACTATATCAGGCTATTTTTTTTTTTTAATGTTTTATAGAGACAAGGTCTCACTATGTTGTCCAGGCTGGTCTAGAACTCTGAGGCTCAAGCAATCCTCTTGCCTTGGCCTCCCCAAGGGCAGGGATTACAGCATGAGCCACTGTTCCCAGCCCACAAATGAAACTTTTAAAAAGCATACCCAAAATACCACTATCAAATCTAAACACTCTAACAATTCCTTAATATAATCAAATATCCTAATTGATTATACATTAAACAGTGTATTTGCAAGCTCAAAACCTAACATTTGAAAAGTTTTCTGAGCAACTTCTGTTTGATGGAGAAAAAGCCTTAGATTCTTGAGATTCAAAATTCTACACAACCAGAATTCACATTTTAACAAAATCCTTAGGTGATTCCTTAGTGTAGTTTAAGATGGGCTGCCTTAAATCATGTCTGCATAGGCCTTACCAATATTTGTTCTTAGATTTTTTGTTATACACTAGGAAAAACTCCATATGAGCAGGGAATTTTCTCCGCATTCATCTTGGAAACCTAGAATATTTCCTGGCATATAGAAGGCACTCAAATAATTGTTAAATAAATATGTTTTAAGAATTAAAATTCCCACTGGGTGAGGTGGTTCACACCTGTAATCCCAGCACTTTGGGAGGCCAAGGCGGGTGGATCATGTGAAATCTAGTCTCTATTAAAAATACAAAAATCAGCCAGGTGTGGTGGCGGGCACCTGTAATCACAGTAACCCCAGCTACCGGGGAGGCTAAGGCAGGAGAATCACTTGAACCCAGGAGGCAGAGGTTGCAGTGAGCCAGGACCACACCATTGCACTTCAGTGTGGGAAACAGAGCGAGACTCTGTCTCAAAAAAAAAAAAAAAGAATTGAAATTTCCCATACCTCTAATCTCATTTAAAGCAAAACTCCTTTAAATGAATAAACAAACTTAAAACAACTAAACTCAATCCTACTTAAAACACTTAAAGCACGACTTAATCCCACTTAAAGCAAAAATCCTTGAAATAACTCTCTATACAATTATTCTAATTCCTCTCTTCTTTATTCTCTGTGGAACTCTCCTCAGTTGGGCTTTTGTCCCTATCACTTCACCAAAACTATTCCTGTGATGGTCACTATGAACCTCTGTGTAGTTAGACTCAATGGTCAATTCTCACTTGATCTATCAGGATCACCTGACACAATCATTTCCTCCTTGAAACACATTCTTCAGTCTTATACCCACCTAACTGGTCACTCCTTAATTTCCTGGGCTAACTCTATGTCATCTTACAGACTTCTAAATATTAAATATTCAAGGGCCTAGTTCTTGGACCTCTTCTCTATATATATTCACCTCCTTGGTGACCAAATCCTGTCTCATGACTTTATTTTATTTATTTATTTACTTTTTGAAGACAGAGTCTCACTCTGTCACCCAGGCTAGGGTACAGTAGGGTGATCTCGGCTCACTGCAACCTTCTACCTCACAGGTTCAAGCGATTCTCCTGCTTCAGCCTCCTGAGTAGCTGGGACTACAGGCGCACACCACCATACCTGGCTAATTTTTTGTATTTTAGTAGAGATGGGGTTTCACCATGTTGTCCAGGCTGGTCCTAAACTCCTGACCTCAGGAAATCTGTCTACCTCGGCCTCCCAAAGTCCTAGGATTATAGGCGTGAGCCACCGCGCCCAGCCCTCACCATTGTAAATAATATCTGCATCTTCATGACTCCCAAACTTTTATCTCTGTCCCAACATCTTCCCTTTGTTTTCCCTACTCAGTTATCTAACTGAACTCCAATCTTGCCCCTGCTCCACAGTTATGTCACCTAAGGTCTTCCTGAACTCAGTAAGTTTTCATTTCTAACCTGCCATTTGATCAGACCAAAACAGTTCGGATCATCCTTAATTCCTCCTCTCTTTCACATCACACATCTGATCCATTAGCAAATTCCATTGGTTTCACCTTCAAAATATACATAGGATCTGATCTCAACTCAGCACCTCTTCCCTTGGCTATACATAAGTTCCCTCACCTCCTTCAAGTCTCTGCTTAAATGTCATTCAGTGAAGCCCTCCTTGATTACCGTATGTACAACTGCAAGCTCTAGCTCCTGCATTACCTACTCCACTGCACGTTTCACTGACATATTAAAATATTTTACTCACTTATTTCAATTTTGTCTTTGTCCCCTCCCTCCACAAATGTAAACTCAAAGTCTGCTGTTTACTTGCTATATCCTCAGGGTCTGGAACAATGTCTTGAAGAATGCCTATAGAAGACACTCAATAAAAATAAAATTTTTTGGATAGAAAAATATTTTCAGACAGTAACCACAAGGATGTGTTTCCCATAAAAAATCTGATTTGCAAAAAATATTATGGAAGTATAAAGTCTCTAGGTTTACTATAAAAGTCTGGTGTTTCAGTTTTCCTACAGATGCTCCTCCTAGGAAGTGAAATGAAATACTAACAGTTTCCCAACATTTACAACACTACAAAATTTCAGATAACTTTCTGTTTCAGAATTATTTATCAACTCTTTCAGAACCACTATACCGGGAACATCCAATACTGTTTTAATTTAATCAGCACTTTAATTTGCTCTTCCATACAGGAAGTTAATACTTACTTGACAATGCCATATCCCAGACTGACTATGATGACCAGGGTTCGAGCCAGTGAGCGTTTCACTGCTGAAAGCAGCTCTGCAAGGATCAAAGCACCTTGGACTATGAAAAAAAGAAGAGAAATGGCACCATAATGTAGGTTTGGCAACAGGCAAGATGCCAATACCAGACTGCTGATTTCTACACTCTTCAGAATAAGCATTGGTATTGGTCCTAAAAAAGTGGAATACCTCTTCTGCAGTTTTTACAGTATACAAGTTGATACCACTTACAAACTCACTCATGAGTGGTATCAGCTTGTATACTGTATTACAATCTGGATGTGCTCAACTCAGCTCCCTCCCCAACTTGCCCCTAAATTCACTAAACCTTTAACAGAATACCTCATCCTTTATAAACAGTTTGTAGCATCAAAACAATTTCCTCCATTTTTAAAAACTGAAATACAGCTACACATAGAAAGGCAAAAACCACACTCAGGTACACACCTGATGACACGTATAGTTTAACTCATTTTCAAGACCTTTCAAAGACCAGGGAAAATCTAATCAGTTTATCTCACAATAATATTTATAACTAAATTAAATGGTCTGACAAGAAAAAAACTGAAGCAATCACAAAAAACTACAGTATAAAACAAGTTCTGTCAGTACCAGTTCACCTTACTAAACCATAAGCACTTTCCCATTTTCTTGATATGACAATATTTTATCAATCAGATGCACTTTCCCACCACATTTTGAGATCTTTGAAAGCAAGGTATGTCTTACAGTCAATGACATCTTACAATTAAATTGGCATGGTTTACTTACTTTCTTAGATGTATAATAGTGCCTTAGAAATCAATGGAAATTGAGATTTGATGATGTTAATTAACAATCGCTCCCAATAAGGCCACTACTTTTGTGACTTTAGTGTGCATATTGCAGCAAAATTAGTCTTACATCACTGAACTCATAAGATTAAAAAAAAAGTCAGACTCATAGTGATTCTGCTTAAGTTATTGTAACAATTAAGTAACTGAAAAGTTAGACCTATTTAGTGACTGCTGACCTTAGGAATATTTTCACACATCTCACCTTCCAACCACAAACATTTTTTGGTTACTTACCAGATTCTCCTTTGTATCGGATATTCTGAAATTCTGCATAGAAGACAGCTTTCTCAAGCATTCCCAGAAAGATGACAGCTCCAATCCAAAACTGAATTCTCAGGAGATCTCTCCAGTAGCAGGCAGACCATGCCAGCCACAGAACACCAAACAGGACATATACAATACACATCACCATGAAAAACTGTTATCAAATTGGGTGAAAGATAAAAAGGAGGATTAGGGCCAAGAGCCAAGTCCATAGATTTAGAATCAATATATACTCTATTTTTTTTTTTTAAAGAGATGGGGTCTTGCTGTGTTGCCCAGGATAGTCTTGAACTTGTGGGCTCAAGGAATCCTCCCACCTCTGTTCTCCAAAGTGTTGGGGTTACAGGTGTTAAGTCACCGTACCTGTCCTGAATCAATATATAGTCTTAACAAGTCACAAAAATATATATTCTACCTTCTAGTTAAAAAATAATTATTCCGGCCAGGTGTGGTTGATCATGCCTGTAATCCAGCACTGTGGGATGCTGAGGCCGGCAGATCACCTGAGGTCAAGACTTCAAGACTAGCCTGACCAACATGGAGATACCCCGCTTCTACTGAAAATACAACATTTGTCAGACGTGGTGGCCATGCCTGTAATCCAAGCTACTTTGGAGGCTGAGGCAAGAAATGCTTGAACCTAGGCGGTGGAGGTTGTGGTGAGCGGAGATGGTGCCATTGCACTCCAGCCTGGGCAACAAGAGCGAAACTCCATATCAAAAAAATAAATAAATTAAAATAATTACTCCTTTGGACTTTAATGCAAATATGAAAGAACTATCTTGAGTAGAGGAAGACAACATATGAACTTGTCCCCAAGAGCGAATGTTCTCATATATATATAACATAGGCATGCCATATAGAAGGTGCTCTCTATAATACATACACACACATATATATCATATATATACAGAGCACCCAGCCTGCTCTCCTATATTAAAAGAGCTTTTTCTGGTCAGGCGTGGTAATTCATGCCTGTAATAGTGCTTTGGGAAGCTGAGGCAGGAGGACTGCTTGAGGTCAGGAGTTCAAGGCCAGTCTGGGCAACGTAGCAAGACCCTGACCCTACAAAAAATAAAAATTAGGCCAGGTGTGGTGGCTCACACCTATAATCCCAGCACTTTGGGAGGCAGAGGTGGGCAGATTACTTGAGGTCAGGAGTTCATGACCAGCCTGGTCAACATGGTGAAACACCATCTCTACTAAAAATACAAAGATTAGCTGGGTGTGGTGGCGTGCAACTGTAGTCCCAGCTACTCGGGAGGCTGAGACAGGAGAATTGCTTGAACCCTGGAAATGAAGGTTGCAGTGAGCCGAGATCTCACCATTACACTCCAGCCTGAGTGACAGCATGAGACTCTGTCTCAAAAAATAAAAACAAACAAAAAAAATAAAATAAAATAAAAATTAACCAGGCATAGTGGCACATGCCTGTTGTCCTAGCTGCTCAGGAGGCTGAGATGGAGGACAGCTTGAGCCTGGAGTTTAAGGCCGCAGTGAGCCATTATCATGCCAATGCACTCTAGCCTGGGAGACGGAGTGAGACTCTCTCTCTCTTTTTTTTTTTTTTTGAGATGGAATCTTGCTCTGTCGCCCAGGCTGGAGGGCAACAGCGCGATCTAGGCTCACTGAGACCTCTGTCTCCCAGTTTCAAGCAATTCTCTTGCTTTAGCCTCCCAAGTGGCTGGGATTACAGGTGCACGCCACCATGCCCAGCTGATGTTTGTATTTTTAGTAGAGATGGGATTTCACCATGTTGGCCAGGATGGTGGTCTTGATGTCCTGACCTCATGATCCACCCACCTCAGCCTCCCAAAGTGCTGGGAATACAGGTGTGAGCCACTGCATCGAGCCACTTTTTTTTTAAAGAAGGAGCTATTTCAGCTCACAATCTAAAATTAAATAGATGAAGACAACGCTGAAGAAGAAAAATGGCATGATCATTAGGATACATCCAGAGGCAAAGAAACACAACAAAATAGCAAAACTATTAAAAGGGAAAGGAAGAAGAGAATAATCATGAACAAAGGAAATCAAAAATACATTAAGGATATTATTCTCAGACACAGATATGCATACATGCACACACACACACACACACACACACACACACACACACACACACCCAAAGAGAAGGGAGCTTCACCATTTACTTAATTTTTTGTTGTTAAGACAGTTTCACTCTGTTGCCCAGGCTAAAGTACAGTGGCACGATCTCAGCTCACTGTAACCTCCGCCTTCCAAGTTCAAGCAATTTTCCTGCTTCAGCCTCCCGAATAGCTGGGGCTACAGGTGTGTGCCACCACATCTAGCTAATTTTCGTATTTTTAGTAGAGACAAGGTTTCACCATGTTGGCCAGGGTGGTCTGGACTCCTGACCTCAACTGATCTGCGGGCCTCAGCTTCCCAAAGTGCTGGGATTAAAGGCGTGAACCACGGCACCCAGCCTCATTTAGTTAATGAAAGTGGGATCAGAAACGATAGAGTTGTAGTAAAAAGTACCCTGTTATGGGTCCTAGAGAGAATGTGACATGATCTTTGAGGTATTTCCAGGTCATTATACCCCTTCATTATACAGATAAGAAAATGAGGCATATAAAGGTATACTGACTCTCTCAAAGTCCCAGTCTAAAAAGAAAGAAGTCTACAACCACAAGCAACATTTTCTGAATTGCATAGGAACAATTTGTTAAAAAAGAATACTGCCACAAAACATGGGACAACCTTTTAAGCTAAAATCATTCATTACTGAGGTTAAAGAACATAAAATCACTTACAATCATCAAGGGATAGTCTTCAAGCGTGAGGTATTCATAGGGACCTTTCACTTCAACAGTCACTGCCAAATACAGTACTCAGAATTAATTTATAGGATGCAGAAATTAAACAAAAACATTGCCTAATATTTGTATAATAAAATTAATAAGAATTTAATTGGGTAATTTCAATCCTGGTCAATATTACATTATATTTGTACAGCATTTGGAAAGTCATTAAGTGTTCTCATAGTTCATGCTGCGTCCTGCACAGGTTTCCATGTCTCCACTCTAGTCTGAAGTGGGAAAGCTCTTTTGTTTCCACACGCACATCCTTTAAAGACTAGATTGAATATTTCCACCACACAGCCTTCTCTGGCTGCCCATCTGGAACAACTCCACACATGCTCTAAATTCTAAACATATTTCATATATACTTTTCCTTACAACGCATCACTAAAATATGCTTTACAGGACTTTCTTTTTACATACTGCCATCTTTGTTTTCTATCCTTCCTCATCTGTATTTTCCTATTGCTTTGCTATTTTTTCATGGACTTCAATTTTATGTGATCTTGCTACATTCATGTATCACTTTCAGAATGAAGGCATTGGGAAAAAACTTAAAAATTTAAATTAACTCACATAAAAAAGATGCCATCCCTGATAAAGTAAGGTTGAAATACAGCTTCACAATCATGTAAGCTCGAACCTCATTCCAAAATAAAAATAACTCAGAAGTTCAAATGGAAGCAAACTAACATCCAATAAACATAGAATTGAACTTCCTCAAAACCTGCTAGTTAAGATTTTTCAAATAATTTGTTAATAAAAACAAGGTGTTTAATAAGGCAGAAAAAGTAACAATAATAACATAAATCTGAAAGACATATTTTCCTTACTATTGACTAATTTTAGGATTATCTGTAATTTAAAAAACTATTTTAAGATGGACTATTTTAATATTGTATTGATAAAATGATTTAGATAAATTCTAGGTATGATTAATAAATTAAACTCTGACTCATTTGAGCAGGGATCATCCCTAGAGGCAGACTAATAACTGCTGCCTCTGTACCACCATCGCAGAGTTTCGTAGTTACAATAGAGAAAATGTTTACTATCTGGCTCTTTAAGAAAAAAATCTGCTAGCCCCCGCTCTATGTTAAAATATACATTTACTAAGCACTTACTATTTGACAGGCCTATGGAAAACATAGCAAATAGAAATACGAGTAAGACATTTTCTGCCATCGAATGGGTAACCACCTTGCAGGGGAGAGGGAGTTGAAAAGCTACATAGAAAACTATTCCTCTCAGTCAGAATCAGAAGGATAAGTAGGTATTTTCCAGAACAAAGTAAAAAGCCTTCTACATAGAGGAAATAACATGAACAAAACAGCTGTGAAAGTGTGTGGTATACCTAAAGAACAAATACAGTCTCAGACCGCACATAATACCATATGGTAGTAGTGTTTTGACATAAGGCAGCAAAAGATAAACTGGGACAATTTGTAAAGAGTTTTATAAACCTTGCGGCAAAATGTAGACATTTTATAGGCAATGGGGACACATTAAAGGTTTCAATGACGGGAAGAAAAATGATAAAATTGTATTAGAGCTTCTCCATTCCAAACAAAAGTTGGATAAGATATTTTTTTAATGAGAAAACAAGGTCAGGTGTGGTGACTTATGCCTATAATCCCAGCACTTTGGGAGGCCAAGGTGGGCAGATCACTTTAAGTCAGGGGTTCAAGACCAGCCTGGCCAACATGGTAAAACTAAAAATACAATCTATTAAATAAAAATTTAGTAGATTTAATAATTTAGTAGATAAATAAAAATTCAGTAGATTATAAAAATGCAATCTACTAAAAATATAAAAATTAGCTGGGCACAATGGTGCAGGCCTGTAATACCAGCTACCTGGGAGGCTGAGGCAGGAGAATCACTTGAACCCAGGAGGCAGAGGTTACAGTGAGCTGAGATCACACCACTGCACTCCAGCCTGGGGTGACAGAGTGAAAATAAAAAAAAAAAAAAAAAAAAAGAAAAGAAAAGATAAAAAACAAAGAAAACAAAAAAAGGATACAAGCTCAAAAACAAGACAGATATTTCCAAGAATCAAAACAGAAACTAAGAACAGTGCTTGAAGCTGACTCCATGACCATGTTGGGCTCCTGTGCCAAAAGCAGGCTATGTTTGTTGGATGTGTAGTTCCTATGGGATCACTGAGGCTAGCAGATTTCAAAGAAAAATAAGAGGGACCAGAGCCAGGTTGGATGCATGAAGAAGCTGAAGTAGGATGGAATATAGCTTCTTCTCTAACCTTGTCAAAGAAAGAAGGTTGAAAATGAACACTGGTAACTGTGCCTTGATACTATGATCCATTAGAAAGTCATGGGCCTAAAGAGACAGGAGGATACACATGTATGAGTAAGGTGGAGAGGGGTGGGGAGGGAGGGGTGGAAAGGGGGAGGGGAACAGAGAGAGAGAGAGAGAGAGGGGTGTGTGTGTGTGTGTGAAAGCCAAGTAGTGGTATCCCAGAAGTTCAACAATGATTTAATGTTAAACAACCAGTTAAAGTATGATATAAACTTATTAAATGAGAAAGCCCTTATGATCATTTAAATCAGTATAAGTAAACTATTTAAATCAGTTTAATTAAACTATTTGATAAAGCTAAGTATTCATTCTTAAGTTTTTTTTTTTTTTTAAAAAAGGAAACTACTCTCATTAAAGTAGGAACAGAAAAGAACATCCTTAACCAAATAAAGAATATTTCATAAGTTTTACAGTAAACATAGTACTTAATGGTGAAATATACCAATACAGCCAGTAAAGTCAGAAGCGAGGTTAACGATGGCTGCCATCATTGTTTCCATTTGATATTCTGCTTAAGAAGGCAGGGTAGGAAAGGAAATTGCAAAGTACAAAGAAGAAACAAAGGGGAAGCCACAGGAAATAAGACCAGTCCTGCAAATTCGAGTTAAGAGAATCTGAGCTCTATGAACTACGCAGCAACCTTGGAAAGGAGAACACTTAAATTCTTGAGACATTAAAAACTACCAATGTTAATTAATTTAAAATTTCCTGATCTTCGGCTTTCTGACCAAGTTTTGACAATTCTAGTTCAGAATACTGAAAATATGACACGAATTAAAAAATTTTAAAGCAGGAGTATCAAATGAAGGAAAATGAAATCTGATACCTGAAATAATGAAAAAGCATCTGTAAAGTGCAAGAATGACATAACCAGATAATAACATAACCATTACAAAAAAGCCCAAACTGAACTTACTGGTAAAAAGATTACGCGGTGAATTTTCTTTTGATGATTCTTTTGAGGATGAAATGCCAATATGTACAATAAAAATGTATGGCGCATCTTGCCAAGTTTGCAATGGTTCATGCATTGCCTAGAGAGGGAAAAGGATATCACATCTGCAAATCTTATGAATTAAGAACACAAATCAATAATAAAATATGCAAATTTTGCTCCACAATGTGCCCAGGAACATGGTAAAGTCCTTTTCTTTCATTCATTCAAAGAATAGGCACAAGAAACGAAACAAGCCTAGCACACAAAGTAGGCTACATTATGAATTACTAAAAGGCAAGATACCACATATCTTATACACAAAAATCACATTTAACATATTTTTTTAATGAGGAAAACCACAACTAAAATTACTAAATTTAATCTCTGTTTAAGCCACACTAGGATACCAGTTTGTGTTTTATGTAGACATCACAAAGTAATTTAAACAGAGAATTATTTAAATCACCTTACACAAAAATTAATGACGGTACCAATAAAATGAATGAAAATCACCAATTCCTGAATCCAATTCCCTTTGTTCAACATGCTTCCCAAGAATATCAGAATTTCGGCTAACATGGTGTCACATTTATATAAAAAATTTCACCTGGGGCTAGTCTATGTGGAAAGCCAGAGTCACTGCCTTCAAACTCAAGGAAGACAAATTAACAGTCTCCAAGACCTTGATTTTGAGGGGTAGTGACTCTTGCTTTCCACATAGACTAGTCTTCACAAACACAAGACTAAGATACAATGATAAAGATTAACACAGAAAATAACTGGTTTCTTCTTCCTTGGAATTACAACTTCTTATCATCTGGTCTTATAATGAGAAATGTTTATCCGGAGATCTCTGGGTAAGCTTCTATGATCTTTGAACCCCTCAAAATGAATAACTGATATTGTGTATTTATGCATTCTCCTATGGAGCACAGTTCTTCTCAAATGGTTTAAATGTCCTATAATCAAGAAAAGGCTAACATAGTTCAAAAATTATATTTCATAATAAAAATCTATGTCAAACAAAGCAGATTAAACAATTCTCCAGGTATCCATTTACTAGGTTATCTTAGGAACTTAAGAACATAAATTCCTTCCTAATCATATATTGATTTATCTCTGCCAATACTCTCTGATGAGACTCAGGGGCAATTTGTGAGAAAACTTTACAGCTTCAAAGTTATGGTTAATCCATGTCCAATGAGTCTGAACTTACTCATCAACCTATCAAATGCTGGTGTAATTAGCTGCTCTATTATCATATATGTCTTAAAACCACCTCTTACAAATTCCAAAATAAACCGATCAATTCTCATATTCCAGGATTTGAGAAAGTTTAAATTTAACTCTGGAATGCAGAGATTCTGACCCTGTAAAAATAATATTTATATGCTAGACACTCTGTTAAGCATATGACATTTATTACTTTTTTTTTTTTTTTTTATAGTGTCTCGCTGCATCGCCTAAGCTGGAGTGCAGCTGTACCATCTCAGCTCACTGCAACCTCTGCCTCCCAGGTTCAGGCAATTCTCCTGCCTCAGCCTCCTAAGTAGCTGGGATTACAGGTGCATGCCACCATACCCAGCTAATTTTTTTTTTGTATGTTTAGTAGAGACGGGGTTTTGCCACATTGGCCAGCCTGGTTTCAAAGTCCTGATCCACCAACCTTGGCCTCCCAAAGTGCTGAGATTACAGATATGTACGTATTATTAATTCCTTTGTAAACTAAGGTAAATTTCACAGAACATAAAATTCACAATTTTAATGCATATAAATCAATAGTACGCGGTACAAGCACAATGATGTGCAAATATTACCTCTATGTAGTTCTAAAACATTTTCATCATCCTAAGAAGACCCTGTACTCATTAAGCAGCAGCTCCCCATTTCTCCTTCCTCTCACCACTTGCAACTAATTTACCTCCTGTCTCCATGGAGTTGTCTATTATGGTAATTTCATATAAATGCACCCGGCTTCTCTCACTTAACATAATGTTTTCAGAGTTCATCTATATTGCTGTATGTATAAGTACTTCATTTTTATAGATGAACGATATTCCATTTTATGGACATACAACATTTTACTTTTTCATTCCTGCTTGTAATTTGAGATTTGTGAGCTTCTCAAGCTTTCTGAAATTCATGCTTCCATTATATATGGGAAGTTTCTGGGCATTATTCCTTTAAATCAAGTATTCTTTCCATACCTTTCTCTCTCTCTTCTCCCTCTGATGAATTACTTTATGTGGATGTTGATATACTTGAGGGTGTCCCATAGGTCTCTTCAGGCTCATCTTAATTCTTTTTATCATTTCTATCTCTATGGTCTCCTGGTTTCCTTTAGGTTCTTCACCCATGCTTTTTTTTTTTTTTTTAAATTTTTAGCTCTTTGAGTATATTCAAGACACTTCATTTAATATCTTTGGTCTGGTAAGTCTCATGTTGAGGCTTCCTCAGAAGCATTTTTTTTAATCCTGTAAATATGCCATACTTTCTTGTTTCTGTGCATGCCTTGTAATTTTTCACTGAAAACTGAATGTTATAAAGTGGCAATTCTGGCAACCAGAGTCTGCCCCCTCCTTGGGGTTTGTTAGCTGCTAATAATCATATGGATTATGGCTCTTTTGCTTAGCGACTTTTGTAAACCATTTTTGAAAAGTCTGTATTCTTTGACCTGTGTGGCTACTGGAATCTATCTTCCTTCAGTGGTCAGCTAGTGTTTTGACAAAGATTTCTTGAACACCAAGAGCCAAAGTCAAAAAAGAACAGAGTATTCTCCTAGTCCTTGCACCCTGAGGCAATCCTTCAATACTTAACTGGGCCAATTAAAGCCCTTCCTTAGTCTTCACTTTCTGCTTATACAGAGCCCAAGGTCAGCCAGAATGAAAGCTTAGGGTCATCTCTGATCACATGCCCAGTCCTGAGAATGTATACGGCTGTCTTCATACTTCAATATACACAGGAGCTTTAAAAATCCTGTTCTCTCACAAATCTCCTTTCTGGACCTTTTCCTTCTCATGCTTGACAATCTCTCTACTGCTTATCCCCACTGTTATCCCCTTCCCTATGCAGAAAATACTTTTGCCTTCAAATGCTTTTGGGAAACACAACCCAGCAAGCCACTCCAGCCCCTGGAACACTAAGTTGGGCAAAATGAAGGCAGAGGAACATGCACAGGTCCTTCAGGCAGTCTCCAGACAGATGAAAACACACAACAGCAAGTCTTTAAGAAAAAGGTCTATATTAGTTCCTCTGGCACTAGCAACCTGCACCATGACCACAGGTTGCCATCCTCCTACTTCTGAACTGGGAAAGGGGGAATGGTAAACAAGTTAAAACATCACAGCACTTTCTTAATGTAATATAGTGCTTCCTCCTTTGTTGAACTTTTTCCTTAAGTTTTGCGTAGATTTCAAAGTTCTGTGAAAGTTGAATGTGACCGTTTTTGTCAGCTTACTAGTTGCTTTTGTGGAGGTATGGAGACCTGGACTTCACTACTCCACAATTCTTAGTAATATCATTCCTATTACCTCCATTTTATTATGTAAGAAACAGACAAAATAATATTTCCCTGGGTCAAGGGAAATATTAAGTTGTGAAATTGGGATTTCAAAATATAGAACATCTGACCCCAGGGCCTGGGCTCTTAACTATCATCTCAACTATTAATTATTTCCTTCCCCATAACAGAACTATTTTTTTTCCTTTTTGTCCCTCCTTTTCACGGTCTACTGTTAGCCTGTGAACAGAATTATTTTTAAAGCACTGTCTTCATGGTATCATCTCAAAATTGTTAAGTCCCCTTCAACAGAACTTTTTAACCCATGAGTAAGATAGCTACAAGTCACAATCCATTAACTGATGCTCTCAGAGAGACAGACTACAAGAGTAGTTTTGTTCCAAATACATTCTATTTTTGTTTAAGCACTGCATTGTCAAAATTGCAATGGTTACAAAATTAAACATACTCTTACCATACAATCTAGCAATAGTGCTCCTTGATAGTTACCCAAGAGAATTGAAAACTTATGTCCACATAGAAGCCTGGACATAAATGTTTACAACAGCTTTATTTACAACTGCTATAACCTGAAAGCAATCAAGACATTTTTCAATAGATGAATGGATAAACTGTGATATATCCAAACAATGGAATATGATTCAGCACTAAAAAGAAATGAACTATTAAGCCACCAGAAGACATAGAGGAACCTTAAATGCATACTACTAAGTGAAAGAAGCCAATCTGAACAGGTGACATTGTTTTTAATTTTTTTTTTATTTTTATTTCCTTTTTCCTTTTTCTTTTTACTTCTAGTAACACGATTGTGATTATATAGGCCACATATTTTTACAATTCCAAATTAGATGACATTCTGGAAAAGGCAAAACTATGAAGACAGTAAAAAAGATCAGTGATTGCCAGGAGTTTAGGGGGAAGCAAGAGATGAAAAGGCAGAGCCCAGAGGTCTTTTAGGCACTAAAACTATCCTGTATGATACTATAAAGGTGAAGATGTCTTTATACATTTATCAAAATTCATATAATGCCCAACACAGAGTGAACCTTAATGTAAGCTACAGACTGGCTGATAATGCCATGTCAATGTGGTTCATCAGTTGTAACACTACACCACAGTGGTGCAGTATGTTGATAATTGGGGGGCTAAGTGTACAGGTATAGAGGGGGCATGCTGAAACAGAGTCTTGCTCTATTGCTTAGGCTGGAGTAGAGTGGCATGATCATGGCTTACTGCAGCCTTGATCTCCTGGGCTCAAGTGATCCTCCCAATTCAGCCTCCCCTGTAGCTATGACCATAGGCATGCACAACCACACTAGGTAACTTGGGTAACTTTTGTTTTTTGCTTTTTTTTTTTTTTGAAACAAGTTTCACTCTTCTTGCCCAGACTGGAGTGCAATGGCACGATCTCAGCTCACCACAACTTCCACTGCCTGGGTTCAAGCCATTCTCCTGCCTCAGCCTCCCAAGTAGCTGGGATTTACAGGCATGCGCCACCACACCTGGGTAATTTTGTATTTTTGGTAGAGATGGGGTTTCTCCATGTTGGTCAGGCTAGTCTCAAACTCTCAACTTTG